TCATTTTAATAAAACTACTTCGCGCCGCTGATAAAAGTTACATCGTGTTGGTCCTGGTGGACATCCTGCTACTCCATGGCCGCAACATACGAAGTCGATGGATGGTGAAAATGGTGCTTTTGTCATGGATCGTATTTACATACCTAGTGAACGTATTCTATCAGTCAAATCTCGTCAGTTTGACAACAAATCCAGCTCAGCAGTACCAGATTTCAGAGGAAGAAGATATTTTCCGATATAAGCTAAAACCTTGTCTGAGTTTAATAATGAGTAGATATTATGTAGAATCTGTTCAATCGGATAAATACTACGACGTGGATAGTGGTTGCTATGGGTTAATGGAGAGTATTGAAACGGTAGCAAGGTCCGAGAATCTATTTACACTTCTTCTTTACGCTATCTATCAGTATTATGAAGAGGATTATTTTGATGAGTATGGTGAACCTCGCATTGTTATACTATCCAAACCGTACTCCAAAGTGATATACACCTTTTACATGTATAAGGGGTTCCCATTGATTCGTGATCTGTGTGAGAAATGCCTCCGGCTAAGGGAGAATGGTTTGGTAGATAAAGTGATGCGTGATTTGAACTATCTTAAGAAAATAAAACATACTTTCCGTCAGGCTCAGTTCCAACCCCGGTTTGCTGTTCCATGGATAGTTTATGTATTTGGATGTACAATCTCTATTATTACATTTGCTTTAGAGCTTTTGTCGAAATATTAAGTACTCCATTGATGAATTTATATCGCTATAGTTACTGTTTACGTATGTTTAAGTGCATATCTGCATTGAGTCTTGTCGTGTGTGTAACTCATAAAACTTTGCCCTTTAATTGTGTGGTCCTTCTAACTTAAGCATTGTGTGTATTGTTTTTTCTTAATTTAAATAAATTAGTCTGTTAAACTTCCCCTTCTTTACTTTAGGCCCAATTACCTTCCCCTTCCCCAATCTCCCCAATCCCTGAATCCCCAACGACCCTAATCCCCAAAAAGCCGGTGACGCACTTCTAACGCCTCTGGTGTTCCAGGTGTCCATAGGCGTCGCTGATTGCTTACCATCAGGTGATCCGTCTGCTCGTTTACCGGCTTATGTATGCCATAAAAAAAATAAAAAAAACTATAAATGTACTTACATCATTTATTTTTATTTGACAAATAAAACCCAATTATTTGCTTACGTGATCACAAATTCATTTTAGAACTCTAGTTTTCCCGAAAGTAGAATTTTAGTTTCTTATTTTGGTCAGGAAAACTAATAGACCAATCTAACGCCTTCTTGTTTACATGATTGATAGTATATCTTATGATAGTGGTATACTTACAAAAGCATCTTTGGTCACCATGACGCACACTATTATTGTATTTTTTTTAATTTTAAGCAATACCCACTTAATGCATAAGCCTCTGAAGGTTGTTCTAGTTTCACAAACCGCTCACTTCCCACAAATAAATAAATGTTTATTACATAAAATGATATATTTATATTCCTTTATAGTATGATATACTAGCTGTGTTAGGAAACCGTGTTGAAATGTGAGCTTCCTGACAGAAATGTAAACTACCTTTCTTGGAATGGGTAACTATGCGAACCTCTGCAAAAAATAAACATTGACATACTTCGGCTTTAGAGTATTTTTTTTAATGTGGGAAAATCATCTAATGACTGCTCTCGCCTGGGTGAGGCGGGAGGTAGTGTCAGACTCTTACTGACTAAAAACCACCCCGTTCCTTCTCCTGCGCTTCGAGCCGGAGCCACGGTAACCCGCGTTAGGTTCTCCGCGACGGCTTTAGTGTATAGGAGATATATTCCTTAGATAAAGTTGACGACTTCAATTCATAAATATTGAACTCATTGAATCGAAACACGTGTGCATACAAAAATAAATTAATCACAAGTTACGAACTACGTTTTAACCTATAATAAATAACAAGTAGGTACCTATAATGAGAGGTAAGCAACAAGGGCTGTCAACTGATGTTTTCTTTTTTATATTAGTTGGGCCAACTTTTGGTCATTATCTCGCCTGTTGGTAAGCGGTGATGAGGCCTACGATGGAGCACGTCTGCCCATAAGCAACCTATTCACTCGGGCCTTCAAGACCCTCAGGCTATACCTTGAGGAAACACAGACCGGCCAAGAATACCACAACCAAATGAGCATTAGACCTATAAAAGACTACACTATAAGCCACTTTGACGCGGTGTGGTATTTATTTATTTTTTGCCTAAAATGCTCATAAAAGTGTACTTTGCGGTGCTCTGGCGCCTAAACTATTTATACTTATTACAAAAAAGGTATCTAGACATAAATTGTAGAAAATTGTGATTAGTTTAATTTTGTAGTTAACGGTTTTGAACGGTAGAAATATTGTGAAATACTGTTTTTAGCCGCCATTTATCCAAGATGGCGGCGCGAGCGGCGCACGTACAAAAGTGCAAAATGGGAATCAAAAAGAGCACATCAAAATCTACAAAATTACCCATTTTCAAAACTTCCGGAAAACATATATATGTAGGTATGAAATTTCTGTCAAGAATAAAGAATGATCCACATTTTATAGAACATAAAAGATGATTATATTGTTCCGGCTGTACCTACGACCTACGTAAGCTTCCAAGTCATGCCTCCTAAAATTAACTACATGTAGTTACAACCGTTGACCAACTTTTTTAATATTATTTATGGCAACAACCTGTCACTTCACCGTTTACTATACTTACCTATTGACAATTATTTATAAACCAGTATTCGACCTCTTCACCCGGTTCTACAGTTAATTCGCTTTATTAAAAACATGGCAACATTGTTTTTCCTTGTAATTTAAATAAATTATCCGTTAGTACACATTGATACATCTGTTTACTTAATATACCTACAGCTAACTGTCATTAGGCTGTCACTGGACTTTGAAGTACAGCGGCCTATAGGTCAGCTACTGAAATATGTATTTTTATTAGAATTTCGAGTTTATACCACAGTGATAAAGTTGCAAATCTAAGTAATAGGTTCACACTGCTGCTGGCCACTTGGGTTTCATAGAGTTAAAAATATGAATGCCTATTTGGTCGAGTAGTCGCAAGTAAGACAGCTGAACATAATGGTCTTGGGTTTGATTAGTAGTAGCGGTTGTATGTGTAATACAACAGACTCCCGGCTCCTTATTAACTCCCAAATAGACCGACAAACTTAATAGGTAGCTGCAGATCTTCGTTATAATTTATGAAATAAAAATCTATCGGCTTAAAGTTCCCTAAGGAGAATGCGAAGGTACACATACCTACACATAAAACACCCATTTTTCATCACTCTGGTACCTCCATAAATATAATCAGCTACGGCGGTGTTCATATCCGGCAACTTACCATCGTTGTAAGCATTCAACCGAAGAATTATTGCCACATTAGAAGTAGATAGGTAATTTTGATTTTAATTATGTTTTATTTATCTTAGGTCTTAGTTCTAAGCTAAAATGTTCTGAGTCTGAACTTGAATTAAGTTGTTTTTCCATTCTGCTTGCGTATTCAATTGTTTGCTAGCATACCTATCTTTCACTAGTTTTGTACCTGCGGCTTTGCCCTCGTTTTTCTGTTTTATCCCATGGGAGCATTTAATCGGGATAAAAAGTATCCTATCACCTAAGTAGTAAGCCCATAAGAGTATGTACTGTCTGTATACTAAATTTCATCAAAATCCGTTCAGTAGTTTCAGCGTTGCAGACGGCCTCATTGGCCGAGGTTTCGGGTTTGATTTCCGGGTCGGCCAAAGTATTATTGGGTTTTTAAAAAAATCTCAGTAGTAGCACGGAGTCTGGAATTGTGCCCGGTATGGCAATAGACCCATCCCGGCAGTCGCACTTGTGACTCGGCTAACGAGGCAGTCTAGAAATTCTAGAATTGTATTTTATATATCTCATATATAAAATTTGATTGATCCGTGAATCAAACCCGATACCATTTACTGGTATGACTCCGCAGCCCTGACCAGTCGACCAACAAGTCAGCCATTTCAGCCATTAATTTAAGTATATAGTAGGAGTATGTTATTGAGAATGTATGTAGTCTGAAGTAAAACAAAAAAAATACATTTCATAAACCATTTATTTTAAAAAATATATATAATAGGTACAAAACATCATACTTTCTATAAACCATTACAAGTAACCATTATTAATAATAATTAATTGGACCACAATATTTTATCTAAATAATTACAACACTAAGTACAATGAAATATACCATGATCCCTGAATGCGTAATAATTATTATTAAATTTAATAGCAACGGTAATTTAAAAAAGCTTTGAACAACATACAAAAAAATCTCCAATAATTGAAAAGAAAAAAATGACAAAATATATTGTTAATCAGAATGAATATCTGAATTGAACAGCAGTCTTTATTTATAGATTAAAAAATAATTTAAATTACCGTTACTATTCGAATGAACTACGTATATCTTTGACATAAAATTAACGGCAAGCCGGTAAGGCAAGAAATATGAATAATTTATGAGCAAAATAATCAATGAATTCATTATAATTATAATTTATTTATTTACTTTTTTATAATTTCTAACGATGCTACATAGGCACGGCTTCTGTTGGTTTCAGATCTTACTATTTATATTATCTGTTATAAAATCTCTGAATATTATCTATGGTTTGGATAGTCTGTGGCATAAAAAATGTAAAGGCCATAGTGTGTAGAATTAAACTTTATTTTATAAAATTAATAATTGTATTTAAAAACTGTCATAATTTCTATTTTTGTGAACTTTTCATAATATCACACGAAGCTATCACATTTCATTACATTCTGTTCAAAATTAATGAAAATTTTTGAAATTTGATAGATATAATAAGGCCATGATTTGAGCATTAAAGACACTTGTGAAAAAAATTGTCATGCATTATAATACAATGTTAAAAATTACTACTCCTTATAGTATTTTCAATTTGGGGTCAAGGACATTGAAAAAGAGACGGACATAATGTCACTTAGAAGTGATTGAAGCACAAAAGAGTCAGTGGTTTTGGTATGTGTGCGTGAAAAATGACAGATGTCTTTCGTGTCAATGTGTTTAAGTCTTTATTAGCTAGACGCCAGTCGTTTTTTAAAGAGACCTTGTCTATTTTTCAACGTCCTTATTTGGGGTCAGCTCTAAATTCACCATAATGGCTCAAAGTCAGTTTTTTTTCTTTTTCTTTTCTTCTATCTGTCAAAAGTTTAATGACCCCAGTAATCGTTCCTTTCTTGTTACAATCATTCTACGATAGTTATAACTAGTTAATGTATGTTTTGCAATGAAAATGGACATATGGACAGGACGTTATTTTCATGTTAGACTTCTAAATATCTGATTTGTGGGATCCTATACTTTGTCATAAAATATTCGAAAAGCACAGTCCCGTTGTTCTACAGTATATATAACATCTTTATCACAATAACTGCGTAAACATAACTAACTAACTATTGTTACTTTGTCTCATAATTATATAATCTGTTAGCAACCACATAACACCCAGAGCTGGTATAATAACAATATTTAAAAGAAATATTAGTTTTTGTTATTCCAATTCCTTCTATAGGAACCCCTTTGGCATGAATTCGATATAAATAAACAGCTATCGCTTTTAAAATTGCATTATAAACTCAACATTCGGCACCATTAGTAGGTCGATATCACATAAGTGATGACAAAGTGACAACCCTAACTTAAAATAACTTGTCGTTTGGTTTGCTACCCTAAATATATGTAACGTAGGTTTAATATCGCTTATCTGGTAGATTTGAGTTTCCAGCGGAGGAAGAGGAACGCAGATATACGTAGGACGAGGAAGATGAGACAGAGAGCTGCGATGTCCAGCGTGAAATCAGCGTTCAACATGTCCAGCTCTTCCAAAGTGGTTTCAGGGTTCTTGAAGTGACAGTAAGTCTGGAAAAGAACGGGAGAATTAGATACACACATAACTTCACGCCTATCTCCCATGGGGGTATGCAGAGACTATGTAACGCCAACTGGGATGACGACAGGGTATGAAAATTAAAAATATAATTAGTCCGTAAGTTAGGTAATGAAAAAATATTAGATTATTTTGTCGTATCATAAAACAATACTTAGATAAAACGAATCAAAGTGTAGGAGTGGGGGCTAGAACGTGATTTCTACGTATAAAATGTGCATAGAAGTGACGTCACGCGACATTTCAAATCAATAAATCGTCGAAAGTATTCTGTATGTAATATCTGTAAGAAAATAAAAAATACGTGATTTAAAATAATCTACCAGACGGACATTAAAATAAAAATTAGGCATCTACCCTTTCGCTTCATCAACAGTCATCAATCTTTTCGTGCATGCTCGTTGGTTAAGGGTACTTTTAATTTGGCATTTTTATTAATATTAGATTTAGATTTTTATTTTAATAAAGCTCGGTAGTTTTTCTTGCGGAAACAAATACTTCCGACGATATTAGGTGTCAATATTTTTTAATTACCTAACTGTCGGACTAATTAGATATTTAATTTTCATATTTATTATCATTTCTATTATGTAGTTTAATAATAAATCCATTTCTCACCTGATGACATTTAAGCTTGGGTCTATCGAAGGAGTACGTGGCGAGAGCAGTGCCCTCGAACCCGTATCTGATGTAAGACAGGTACGTGATCCACCGCAGGTACACCGGGATCGCGTTGAATGACACAAAGAATCCACTGAACAGTAGGAACGGTACTGACATTACTGGAGCCAGGAACACGCCGTTCTGTGAAATGAAATTTTTGTTAGATTTTTTGGTCAAGAGTCAATTTGGTTGTCTTTTTTATCATCCCTCTTTTTTAAATGGGCCTTATAATACGTAAACATGCGTCACTAAAAACTGGTTGTTATCCTCTTCAATGGAAAGTGTCACGTGTAACCCCAATACCTAAAACGTCTAACAAAACAGCTGTAGAGGAATACCGGCCAATTGCTATTCTATCATCATCCGCTAAAGTTTTCGAAAATGTGCTCCATAAACTTATATACGCACAAGTTGAGAAATACTTAAGTAATGCTCAACATGGTTTTAGACGTAGGAGATCTGTCGAATCTAACTTATTAACTTTAACGGAGTATATCTCATCACAACTTGACAGAGGGCAGCAGGTGGACGTCCTATATTTTGACTTTTTGACTTTCGGAAGGCATTTGACCGCATCAACAATGATATCTTGCTCGCGAAACTTAACTCCATAGGTGTATGCCCTAACCTTCTGCGTCTATTGGCCGATTACCTTCGTGACCGCCAGCAGTACGTGAGGTTGGGCATTTACGAGTCCAACACGTACCACACTCGTTCAGGCGTAAGTCAGGGCTCAATTCTCGGTCCTTTGCTGTTTCTTTTAATGATCAATGATCTCCCGGAGGTTCCTCAACATGCAGAATGTCTTTTGTATGCTGATGACCTAAAACTCTACGCTTGCGTCAACAGTATATCGGACTGTGAGGCTATTCAAAGGGACATCGACCTGGTGAATGATTGGGGAAATGCAAATAAAATGGAATTCAATCCCTCTAAGTGCTATGTCATGACTTTTGGTCGAAAGCGACACCCCATTACCTTCGACTATAAAATAAACGGCTCTTCTATATCTAGATCGTCAACTATGAGAGACCTGGGCGTCGTATTTGACCAGAAGCTGACATTTCACGATCATATTGCAACGGTTGCTAAGGAATCGTTTAAGAGACTTGGTTTCGTTCTGAGAAACTCACGAGATTTCAAGAATACGCACGTCATAAGACTCCTTTACAGCACGCTGGTCAGGAGCAAGTTGGAGGCGAGCTCCTGCATTTGGAATCCACACGAGGCCTCCTATTCTCTACTACTTGAAAAAGTTCAGAAGAAATTCTTAAGATTCCTTTACAAATCCTCTCTAGGCTACTATCCATACATGTACCCAACAAAATACTTGTGTGGATGTCTGGGATACAATATGCTGGAGACCAGAAGAGCGTTTGGACAACTGTACATTATGCTTAAAATCTGCAGAGGTATCATAGATGCTCCTGACCTTCATAATGAACTGATGCGATTACATGCTCCGACTAACTACCTCCGTGCTCGTCGGCACCGCCCACTGTCTGTGCCCGCATGCCGCACAGTGGCCCGTGCATCGTCCCCTATTCCCCGCGTCTTGTCCGCGCTCAATGGCCTCTTGGAAACCTACCCCGACTGTGAGCTATTTATTAATGACTTTAAAACTGTTCAGCGTTTATGTTTAAGTTTTTGTGAAAATGTTTAATACTGTTACCTCGATTACTGTTTATTATTTTTTTTTTTTAATTTATATTTTTATTATTGTGATGTGCTTTATTTTTTCTTTTATATCTTTATTTTGTCATGTGATTTGTAGCTACATACGATGTTTGTTTTGATATCTGTATATGTTAATGTAACTGGTGTAAACCGTATTAACATAAAATAAATAAATAAATAAATAATTTTATGTTTTACTTTTAACTGTTAAAAAACGGTACATGTTTTTTAGTAATGACTGCCTCATTGGCCGAGTGGACGCAAATGCGACTCAGCAATCGCACTTGTTCGGCAACAAGGGGTCTCGGGTTCGATTCCCGGGTCGGGCAAAGTTTTACTGGGTTTTTTCAGAAAGTGGCAATAGGCTAGTGGAAAACGGGACGTTACATTGTACAGTAGCAGGAAGTGCCGTAATGTGCACCTTTGCCTACCACTTCTGGGACAAAAGGCGTGATGTTATGTGGTCAATTTTTGGTCAAGAGTCAATTTAATTATTTTTATCACAAAGGTTTCATTTACAAAGGAACTAAATCTTCACATTAACATAATTTTAATACATACTCGACTCTATTACTATACGTACGTAGATACAAACTTAAGTACAATAAAAAGAACTAAAAATATTACAGTGTATTGACTGACATTGCAATAACTTTACAAAGGCAGGTAATTATTTCAGATTAATATTTAAATGCACAAAACACGTCAATGCTCGGGTTACGAAGGCCATTTTGGAAAAATGTACAATAAAGAATTGCATTGTCCTCATTCATTCAAAATAAATAGGTACCTATATAGAACGTATGAAATTCAAATTACAGTTTTGCACATTCAATGCTAATATGAATGCATTGAGTAACAAAAGTAACTTAATTGTATACAATTCTCCGAGTGAAGAATGTCTGACAGAGGAAAATGGACCTTAAGTAACTTAGGATAAAGGTAACAAGAAGATTGAATGTGGGATATGGACATAATATAAAATAGTTTCACTTAAACTTATACGGCTTACTTACTTAACTGTTTAACAAAGTAACTCGACTATTTTCAAGTCAAACTAAGGGCTCATAGTCATGAAATACATAACATACATACATAACATCACGCCTTTAATCCCTGGAGGGGTAGGCAGAGGTGCACATTATGCCACTGTACAATGTAATACCCACTTTTTACTATTTATGTTATGAGTCCCATGTAAAAGGAGGTGAGCCTATTGCCATATACCGGACACAATTCCAGACTCCGTGCTATTACTGAGAATTTGTTTTAAAAACCCAGTAATACTTTTCCCGACCCGGGAATCGAACCCGAGACCCCTTGCCCGGTAGTCGCACTTGCGACCACTCGGCCAACGAGGCAGTCATGAAATATTGCGACTAATCGCTAACTAACGCTCACCGCGTCGCGTCAATCAGTTACGTCATAAGTGAGAAAGCCGTAGTCCATAATAATTAAATTAATTTATTACGAAACTTAAGTATGTACCTGAACATTCATAGCAGCCCCGACTACAAGTCCTACACTCTGCGCCACGAACGAGATGAGCAGACAGGATGACAGAAACATCGCGAATCGGAACCAAACCGGTGGCTGCGACGTCAGCAAGTATACTATCACCACGTAGATCACACAGAATATTGCCTGAAACGGAAGAAAATTTAAAATTAGTATATTAGATGTCAATATACAAAGAGAATAAAGTAGGTAACAAAGAATATTTTAAACATTAAAGATACGCGCGAAACCCTGACTGCGATCGGGTACAAATTAAACATAACATAACATAATATCACACCATTTTATCCCCGAAGAGGTAGGTAGGCAGAGGTGTACATTACGGCACAATGCCACTGTACAATGTAATACCCACTTTTCACTAGAGGTATTTATGTTATGAGTGCCATGTAATAGGAGGTGAGCCTATTGCCATATACCGGGCACAATTCCAGACTCCGTGCTACTACTAAGTTTTTTTGAAAAACCTCAGTAATACTTTGCCCGACCCGGGAATCGAACCCAAGACCCCTTGCCCGGCAGTCGCAATTGCGACCACTTGGCCAACGAGGCAGTCGAATTCTTGGCGGTAGCATGGAGACTGGATTCTAAAGAGCATGAGACTCGTAATATGACTGACGAAAATATTAAATTTTATGTAAGAACATTACCTACAGGAGTTAGCTCTTAAAAGAACAAAGACCGTAGTCACATTAATTTTATTTTATACTTACACCCTATAATCTTAAAGAATATATCAGCATGAAGGTAAAGTAAAACATGTTTTACCTGGAATGGTATATCCGAAACAGTGATGGCGAGATAGTAAGACCGTAGCGAGTACCATCGATTGAAGTGTTCTTTCACCAGCACAGGCATCTCAAGGGGAACTGGAAACAAGTCATTAAATTGTATTAATAAATTGAACAAAATCAGATTGTAGTACAAACAGTAATTTGAACTTTATCGTTTGTGAATGAAAGTTTAAAATAGGATGAATTATTTTTTTTTAAGTCTTGAGGGCTTGATATTATAAAAATATCATTTTAATTTATGCAGCATTAAAGTTCATATTTGAATGCATGTTGTAATATGGTCCTTAGGTACGATTTGGTAGGAATTAATTCAGCTTTTGTGAACCTTGTTGCTTTTATGAGACATCATAAAGTAACTTGTTTTGTAATCAAAGTATTGCATTGTTTTTTAAGGGGGGAAAATCATCGAATTGCTGCTCCCGCCTGGGTGAGGCGGGAGGGAGTGTCAGACTCTTACTGACTAAATACCACCCCGTTCCTTCTTCTGCCCTTCGAGCTGGAGCCCCGGTTACCCGTTAGGTTCTCCGCGACATTTTTATTGGATAGGAGTCAAACAATATAGCCCTCTTTTGTGTCACACCATTCCTAACCTGAGTAAAAAAGTAATAAAAATCATATTCGAATACTCACAACTAAGAATAGTGATGGTCATAGAAGTATACATGAGGAACAGCATATTGAAGAACAGGAAACCAAGATTTGAGAGTACTTTGGAGCCGTCGTCACCGATGTCGTAGTACAGTGCACCAATCAAGAAGCCGACCAGGATGTGCGCGAACAAACGGAGGTACATCAGAGTCTGTGGGGGAGGGTGTACATTAGTGAATTACATTATTACATTGACATTAAAAACGGCCCGATTCAAGTTCGCCAGAGTATTATTTCTTGTTGTTCCCGAACTTGAATGTGTCCCATTTTCATTTCATACAACCTTGACCTTATGGACGAGACAAGGATTATCCAAATTGTGTCCGTTCCTTCATCAAAAATAAATTCTTTCGACTGTTCAATACAATAAAATAGTTAGTTATATTAGTATATTAGTTGATTTTATGACCAACTTAATTTTTATTTATTCATTATATCAAACATACAATGTTTACTATTATTATTTAATTCGAAGGGCTGGCTACTACCTTAGGCAAAGGTTAAGCATTGCCATTCAACGTGGCAATGCTGCCAGTCTTTTAGGCACCCTACCTCACGGTAGTGATGAGGAAAAAAAAATATTTTCATGCCTAAGATAACATTTTGTTTAAGGTATCAATATTTTAGTTATTTATATTTTGAGTTGTATATATTTATTTAATCATGAATTAAGTTATTATGTTGCTACCTTGGTTTAAAATTTTGTGATGACTCATTACATCGAAAGCAACCATATTCTTTATACATTTTCGCAATTATTCGCGAATTTTAACACTTTTATTAGCACAACGCCATTAAAAATAACAGATAAGTACTATAAACGAAAGTTTCACAGGAAATTGAAGACTATAGACTATATTCTTGACCTTGATTTGACCGAGTTTTAGAACAAATATAACCTAAATAAAGTAATTAACACATTTATAGTGACATTCGATACGTTTATCTTGTCTCTGTATTGAAGGCAAAAGGTCACTGAGTTGAAGTGTAAACTATAAATGGTTTGTTTTGCCAAAAAGGGGTACACAGATGTGTTCTTTACCGTATAGAAGGTATGGCACCTTCAAACCATTTCAACCTTTCATGTTTGATAATTGAGTCGAAAATTAAATAAAAATATAGTTTGAGGCAAGTGGAATTGCGAAATCTACCAAGTGATTAGATATAGTTTTACCGCTTCTGTATTGATTGAATCTATTTTTTTTTCTACTTCTATATACATATACTATTTTTTATAATTGTGGTGGTGTGTGTATAATTTATATGTGTGTTAGGCAAAGGACTAGCCCATAAGGTAACACAAGGCTTGTGATGTATATTTTAGTTTGTTTTCTACTATCGTAACTGTTTTTGTTTGTTTGTGTTAATGTAATTGCTGTAAAATCGTGTTAAAACAACAATAATAAATAGAAAATTAAATAGAAAAAGATGAAGGCTGTTTCTTTCACTTTTATAACTGTAGGCAATCGTTTTATCATTTTTGATTGATTTACCTACTTAAAATACCAACGTACTTTCCCGTTAATTCAGAAACAAAGTAGAAACAATATATTTGTGTCTTAAAATCAAAAATTATGAGAACACCCGTTATGTCGGCCATTTTAATACGAATCGGTCGGTCGTTGCCCTAAGAATTTATTTATTCATACCTGACATGTTATTTTTGAAGTGCTCAGGCTTAAAACAAAAAATACTAACGGGTCTAGACATATGCAAATTACAAATAAATATTTACACAATTGTATGTATGGGGACATTAAAATAAAACAAAGGATGTGCATTGTTTTCATTTAACAATAAATAAATACTTTAACTAAGAGAATAGTAAATTATTTGAAGACGGACGACAATGAATTTGGTTTTTGTAGTGTCAAAGTCAAAGTCAAAATCATTTATTTCAATTAGACCAGGCACATTTGAACGTCAACAATAAAAAATTTAAAGTTGCTCATTCCAAGGTGTAGATTCCTATGGAGAAGAACGACTAAGAAACTCCATAGGATACTCTTTACTAATCAGGTTCACAATACAATTCTCCAGTTACACAGTTTTATTGTTTCGATTGTTAGAGAACAATGTAACACCAAATTCCAGTCAAAGAGATCGAAAAATAAAATAACCTTAAAGACAATAAGTCGTAGGTCAAATATCCAAAAAAAAAAATTTAAGTATGTAAGCTACTAGTCTGTAGTAAGAAGTATCGAAACAACACCCTAAATATTCCCTTGTATTATAAATTTATAATGTATTGAATGTTACAGAATTCCTAAACGGCTGGACTGATTATTATCATTACATATCACAGATTAAAAATGGAGCGGTAGATGGCACTAAATACAAAAAATGTCACTCAGATCCACTATTAGTGAAGCATTTGTATTTATTTAAATGCGTTAATCTATACATATGATAAAATCGTAGAAAAGTCAAAACTGTACATTGATTTTTTTTTAAAAGAATACGAGGCGTGATCTACAATCGGTACCGAAGCCAAAAAATATGGATTTTAGAATTTTTGTCTGTATCTATGTCCGGGATGATCTCCAAAAGTACTGCATGGATTTACTTCAAATTTTGCATGAATATTACTAACAGGTCGGGTCAACATATAGGCTACTATCACGCCATCATCTACGGGGGAGGAGCTGTGAATCACAATTCCACGCGAACGAAGTCGCGGGCAACAGCTGGTCTTATCATATTATGTTCAGAATACATATTATTTGACCTTCAAACAAGCTTTAATTTAACAAATAAATAGTTCAAATATGACCAGACGTTATAACCTTTGTACCTAATACGTATGGCATTGTCATCTCTGATACATGAAAATGTATTATCATAACTTGCTACATATCACAACAATGAATCGTAACTGGACAATACAAACCTACTTTAGAGTTTGAACTCTAAGTAAACTGAAGAATGTTCATTTTAAAACGTCACCAGTGTGTAATATGTCATGAATAAATGTAATCTATATTGTTGTTATTTGACTAAGGTTTAAAGTTTGTATCATGTTAGATTACCGTATAATGTATAGTGTATAAGTTTTTAGTTTAATACTTTGGTTGGAGAAAAATTATACTTTTACGTAACATCACACCTTCTATCCCCAAAGAGGTAGGCAGAGGTGCACATTACGGCACTTAATGCCACTGTAAAATGTAACACCCACTTTTCACTATTTATGATAAGAGTCCCATGTAATAGGGGGTGAGCCTATTGCCATATACCGGGCACTCCAGACTCCGTGCTACTACTGAGAATTTTTTAAAAACCCAGTAGTACTTTGCCCGATCCGGGAATCTTACCCGAGACCCCTTGCCCGGCAGTCGACCACCACTCGGCCAACGAGGTAGTCTTTATATTATACTTTTATATAATAATATTGATAAAGGAAAAACTACCTAGTGTTCTATGTGGTTGTTGTGCAGACCGTACAACAAATATGTCTGTCCGCGTACACATACACAGTGACAAAAGGAAAATTCCTAGTGTTGTGTTCAACATTGAAAACACGTTTGCAATCTGAATATTTAGAGTTATTTTGATAATTTTGAATGTCAAAGGCACCTGCAACATTACGTATATATGTCACAAAATGCGTGTGAAATAATGCGTCATGAAATTATAAATTGTAAACAACATGAAATGTTTTTTATAAAAAAATATTAAGTACAAAAAGTTATTATTTATTTATTTATTTATATATGCTTTATTGTACACATTTATGTAGCTTAAAACAAACAATTCAAGTAAATATGTGTACAAAGGGCGGTCTTATCACACAATGGTGATTTCTTCCAGACAACCTTTGGATGGAAATATTTGTAAGAAACCAGATAAGGGGTAGTTATTTTATTATGAACAATAAAAAACTTTTTTGATAGGCTCGCTTTGGACTTTGTGTTTTGTTTGTCGTAATTTCGCTCCCATGTGTGAGACGAGTCATCAAGGTGATTTTTATTCAGTGACAACCTACCTTGTCAGTAGCTGCTTATTTTTTCACTCATAAGTCAAAATAAATAAAATCTAATACGACAATTGGAAGGCAAATTGATATAAGCGACATTTTTTGTGATATTGTTATATCCTACACTAGCAACCCGCCCCGGCTTCGCACGGGTGCAATATGCATTTATTATACATATAAATCTTCCTTAAGGATTACTCTATCTATAAACCGCATCAAAATCCGTTGCGTAGTTTTAAAGATCTAAGCATACATAGGGACAGACAGACGGTGGATAGCGACTATGCCACTCCTTAGCAGTAGGTTAAGGAGTGGAATTCGTTGCCAGAGTCTATGTCTTCAACGCCCGAGTAAATAGGTTGCTTATGGGGGTCGACGTGCTCTATTGTCGACCGCATCATCACTTACCAGCAGGCGAAACAGTGATCAAACGTCGGCCCATTAAATATAAAAAAAATGTATTTCTGTAAATGATCAATTAGTCATTCAACCGTCGAATACATCTCTCAAACACTTACCCAATCTCGTCTGCTGAACAGCAGTGTTCGTTTAAGTACCACCCAGAACTGGGTGAGTTCTGACGTCGCATAACGTCTGGGCGAGCCCTCGCCACCCAACAGTGCCACTTCCACATTATCCTGCTTCTCCGAATCCATTTGGACTACCAGCGGTTCACCTGGAGAAGAAGAAATAAGAATTTAGTGGAGGAAAGAAAGAAAATTCATTATATTTAATGATAGAACACGTTTTGCAGTTTTGTTATTAACGTATCGAAGGTAGGTATCTATAATAATTGTTGTTTCGAGTCTGAGAGATATGTAAAACTGTGTGTTTGCAAACGAAATGACGACCCAGAAAGAAATTCTTAACATAACATAACACCTCACCTTTTATCCCTGAAAGGGTAGGCTCATTACGGGACTTAATGCCACTGTACAATGTAACACCCACTTTTAACTATTTATGTTATGCGTAGGTAACGTTTAGTGTACTTCATTTTTCTTTTTCTTAAAGTTTCTATAATTTTATTACATTCTCAGTTAATTTACATTACTCGTTGCAAGTATGTAAACAGATACAAAGGTGGAACAAACAATAGATATACTGTGTGTTATCCATGTTTTTGTATAACAACGCAACTTTAGATAGATTTATTTAACTTCAACTTTAGTTGTTTTCTATAAACTTTATCCTCTAATACGAGGAACATAGGATGTTATTATGATATCTTTATCAACATAATTCAATATTTGATTTCTATTTCCTACTGTATTTAGTAATAATTTGATTACAAATATTTGAACTGTTAATAAATAAGCGGTAAAAATCTATGTCAGGCTATAACGACATTACTCGTTATCAATACGTGTGCTTAAACTTCTGTCAAAGTCAAAATCATAACTATAAATGCGACTGACAGCAAGGGGTCTCGGGTTCGATTCCCGGGTCGGGCAAACAATTACTGGGTTTTTTAAAAATCTCAGTAGTAGTACGAAGTCTGTAATTGTGCCCGGTATATGGCAATAAGCTCCCCCCTATTACATGGGACTCATAACATGAATAGTGAAAAGTGGGCGTTACATTGTACAGTGGCATAATGTGCACCTCTGCCTACCCCGAAATAAAAGGCGTGATGTTATGTTATGAAACAATTCTAAACCTTCATAGATGTATTTTGAAACAGAGACAACACAATATTAAGTTCAAATGTCAAGGAAATCTATGACATGTACACAAGAACGTATATTATATACCAACTTCTATTCTATATCTATACCGACATTATAAAGGAACAATTTGATTGTTCGTTTGTTTGTATGTTTCGACTAAGCTTAGAAACTGCAGGACCGATTTGAGAAATATTTTCGCTATTGAAAAGGGCACTTTTTAAGGAGTAACATAGGATGTCAGAATGTGATACACAGGATCAGGAGATACCAAAGAGAAATCTTTTTTATTCCATGCGAGCGAAGTCGTACGTACAAAGTTAATGTTATATACTTATACTTATGTAATAACACGAGTCAGACATTTAATAAGCGGATAATAAAGGACTAAAGTCCAGCACTACATTAGAAAACGACATTAGTTCAGTTATCTTAATATCGACTTTATTTTCTTAGTACTACTAAGTGCGTTTTCGAACCTTAAATAAATTGTTATAGGAAAAAGAAGTAATAGGAACTTGACATAAACCAGTAATCTATTAAACGTATTTTAAAACGTTTATCATTATATTAGAGATACAATAAGTGCGGGAGAGCCATACTTCGGCACGAATGGGCTGGCTCGACCGGAGTGATACCACGGCCTCACAGAAAACCGACGTGAAACAACGCTTGCGTTGTGTTTCGTCGTGTGAGTGAGGTTACCGAAGGCCCAATAGGGTAGATAACTAATTTTTATTTTAATTTCCGTCTGGTAGATTGTTTTAAATCATTAGACACGTATTTTTTATTTTCTTACGGAAACGAATACTTTCGATGATATATTGATTTGAAATGTCGCGTGACGTCACTTCTATCTAAGTACATTTTATACGTAAGAATGACGTTTTAGCCCCCACTCCTAAACTTTGATTCGTTTTATCTAAGTATTGTTTTATTATACGACAAAATAAAAAATACTTGCCTAATATTTTTTCATTACCTAACTTACGGACTAATTAGATTTTTAATTTTCATACCCTAGCTTTTTTATTTAACTACCCAATTTGTATAATAAATTGAATTTCAGTCACAAAATTATACCAAAATAATCACAGCTACGGAAAGCTATTTATGAAATGTATATGTATATAAATCTAACACGATTAGTCACGCATGCGCTACCACAATTTTGATATCATGTCCTCCACAAACAGTAATTTTGTTAATTTCTGTTATACCTACAATAGTACAAAAACATACAATAATAAGAGACACAAAAGACTGACACATACATTATTATTTCATTATATTTTTGTGGTCAAACATAATGGTAGTATCAGGTACATAAGTGAATTGTTTGATACTAGTTCCTTTTATTCAATGTGTAGTTTATTAATGTAATTATCACTCATCATTAAAAAACAAATTGAGTAAAGTTATGTTCGATTTTCCAGCAATAGAAATAAGGTCCAATATGTGTTAGTATAGGCCAATAAACTTGTCCACTTTTACATGAGACTCATAACTTAATTGGGTACTACCTTTGCAAGTTATACCAATAGCACCCCAACTTACGTATCTAGTAACAGTGGTTTTTTATTACTGTTTCAGCGATAAATGTATACATTCTTTGTTAAAAAATAATTTCATCAAGTCTATTATATATTTCTATGGGACATGGCGATAAACGAAGATAAACAAAAGCAGGTCTCCCACGTGTAAAATGTTACATAGAAATAGACTTAAATGTTAGTTCTAAAAAGGCCATTCAGGCCAATATCGAAGGCCACATAACTTATAACAAGATGGCTTCCACAAAATGAATGATTCCATAATAAAATAGAATCCTAATAGCACTTAATGGAAATTCATTGCCGACATTAGTTTATCAAGAGTATAAAGTTCATAATTATTATGTTTAATGTGGTTTCTTATCATGTGCTATGGAAGTTGATTATGCAATTCTGTAGTTAGACTTCGTACTACCGGGTTATACCTTCCTTCCTATGTGAGTAATTTTTAGGAATATTTTGTGTATTAAATATGAATGTAAGTACAATACATAGAGAAGAATCTATTTAAAAACATTAACAAGGTTTTTGACGGAATGAGTCATAGTCATACTTATTAGTATTTCTTGTGTGATTCACATCTTTCATTTAAATTTTGCAATAGAAAATCGATTGTAAATGACCTTTAGTGAAATAGAGGCATAATATTAAAGTACTAACTACTTCGCGGTTGCACACGCTTTGATCAGCTCCTATTGGTCGTAGCGTGATGTTTTATAGCCTACAGCCATCCTCGATAAATGCGCTATCCAACACAAAAAGAGTTATTCAAATCAGACTTGTAGTTACGGAGATTAGCGCGTTCAAACAAACAAACAAACAAAAAACAAACTCTTCCGCTTTATACAATAGTATAAGATTATAAGATATAAGATCTAAGATATGCGATGATTAATGTGATGTAGGATAGGTAGGTATCATGAAAGTATGTGTCATATAAAAGGTGATTATGAATGGCTCATTGGTCCTTTAGCCATAAGTACAATGGGTATTCAAACTATTCATTTTCCATTATTTGCTAATACATACATAAAAGCTTATTTTATATATCCTAGTATATGGTACATGACTGATAACGAAACTGAGAACATTGTTCTATAGATAGCTGATCTTGAAGCTTGATGACACCTTGAAACACTCAATAAAAGGCTGAATTCCATAAATACCCATTTATCCCCAAGCCACTGCTGACCGCTCTCCACTATATTATAGACCTTATTTCCGATGTTTAGAGACTATTTTTGTACGAACATATTTAGGGGATGATATTTCAACAGGTTAAATACAATCTAACTGCCTCGTTGGCCGAGTAGTCGCATGTACGACTGTCGGGCAAGGGGTCTCGGGTTCGATTCCCGGGTCAGGCAAAGTACTACTGAGTTATTATAAATTCTCAGTAGTAGCACGGAGTCTGGAATTGTGCCCGGTATATGGCAATAGGCTCACCCCCTATTACAGGGGACTCATAACATAAATAGTGAAAAGTGGGTGTTACATTGTACAGTGGCATAATGTGCACCTCTGCCTACCCCTTCGGGGATAAAAGGCGTGATGTTATGTTATGTAAATACAATGTAACTAATATTATAAATGCGAAAGTTTGTGTTAGTGTGTGTTTATGTGTTTGTGAGTGTATATAGTTACCCAATCACGTCAGACGGCTGAAGGGATCGTGTTGAAATTTGTACAGGGATAGATATACGTCTGGAATAACATTAAGATATAGGGTACGTTCTATCCCACGAGAATGCGGGCAGGAGTCAATAATTATATTCTACTAGCTTCCGCCCGCGACTTCGTACGCGCAACCCCGATATTACCCGTTCCCGTTCTTGATTATCGGTCAAAATTAAAAAAAGTATTGGGTAAAAAGTATCCTATGTCCGTCTCCTGGTGCTAAGCTACAAGCCCACCAATTTTCATCCAAATCGTTTTAGCAATTCTTGAGTTATAAATAGTGTAACTAACACGACTTTCTTTTATATATATAGAATATTCTATCAATTATTTTGAATATCCAACGTACAATAAGCATTCTAGACATAATTAGCACATTACAAACAGGATGCAAGTTACCTCTGATCTCTTTTATCAGTTAGGTACAACTGCATAACCTTTTTATCTAACTTTATACAGATTGAGGGCTAAGCTGTGATATGTAGATGGTAACGAAACATGTGAATGACGGGACACGGGTTCATATTTATAGTTGTTGATAGAATACGTATTCTGTGGTTGTATCATTCAGCGGTGCTACAAGTCAGAGGCTAAAACTAAACATGACATAACATCACGCCTTTTATCGCCGAAAGGGTAGGCAGAGGTGCACATTATACCACTGTACAATGTAACACCCACTTTTCACTATTTATGTTATGAGTCTCATGTAATAGGGGGTGAGCCTATTGCCATATATACCGGGCACAATTCCAGACTCCATGTTACTACTGAGAATATTTGAAAACCCAGTAATACTTTGCCCGACCCGGGAATCGAACCCGGGATAAAACTAAAGTTGTGGATAATAGCAACCGCAGCAGACTTGAGCACCCAGTAGCAGCGCGACAGTCGCGTAACAATTACGTGAGTAAGCCGAAAACATAATAATTAATTTTCGATAATAGTCATAAAATGTTATTGAATTTTAACCGAATGATATAAAAAACGAGAGA